AAAAAAAAAAGAAGAAGAAGAAGAAGAAAAGAAAAAGAAAAAAGAAATCAATATTGAAGGCTAATCTCATGCTGGAAACATTATTAAAATTCCAAAAGATCAAATCTTTGTCCTCCATCGTAAAGTTAAGAGATTAGCTCTTTAGATTTCCAGCTTCTCTGATGCTATTTATTACAATTAATTCCATTCCTATAAATGTTTATAGACGTATTTCTACTACTCTGATCCTCTACATTGTTGAATAATCTTGGAAAATGGAATCTAGGTCATATATGACTAACAAATGATTACAACTCAGCAGCAGTGGTACACAGTGATTCTATGGAAACTATATAAAGGAACAACCTTTTCATTTTCTGAGTTATCTATCATTTGTTGACTGATGATACTGTTATCACAATAATGTCATAATGATAACAGCAGCAAAGGTTTAGAGAGGTTACTATGTATGAGGCACCTTTCTAAAATGTGCTTTACATGTGTTTACTCATTGAATTCTTACAACTCTTAGAGGTGAATACTGAAAGTAACTCATGTAACAGATGAGGAAACAGGGGCTCAGAAAGTTAATTTTCCCAAAGACACACAGATAAGTAAGTGGCAGAGCCAAGATTCACAAAGAGGTAGTTTGGCTTTAAAGTCCATGCTCATAACTACTACATTACAATGACCTTCCTGAGGTTAGGTAGGTAGTAAAACATTTTTTGGTAATTCATCCATTAATGTGAAGGGGAAGATAAAACGGGAAATATGTGAAACTCAGAAAAGTTAGGTGAACTGCCCAGGGTCACTGGCTCTAAGGCCAATCAGTATTACATTATCTGTGTTATTTTTCCAGTCTTATAAAAAAAAGTCTGAAAGTTGGGGGGGTGTTTAAAAACATACACATACCTTTGCAAATACCAAAAGATTATAATGAACAGTCATTCATTATTCCTACTATCTTAGTTTGAGACAAATAAAATAGAAATAAAATGAGGTCCCAGATTTAAGAAGGGAAAGACAATGCCCTTGGCTTTGCTGAAAGTAAATGAAAGCAATCTCATTCAATCTTAAGGCTTTAACAATTAACAAATCCAATAAACACACTTAGTATTGACCTTCCTAAGTCTTTCTGATCCAGGTCACTTACTCCTTCCCTTTTTGAATCTTCTTCCATTGTGATTATCACTCTCTGCTAGTTTTTGACTTCTGAAAATGTAGTATCTTCTGAATCTACTTATTCCTCTACACCTAAATGGTTGGTTTCACCAAGGTTCTTCTAATACTACATATATATTTTCTCTGTTTGATCTTATCAACCCTCACAGTTCCCTAAAAACCCAGGCATTATACCTAGATATCTCTTTCCTATCATTAATCAAATAAAACTGGCCACCAGGTACTTATTTACCAACTTTTTCTACCCAAGTTTCAACATGAACTTTATTAAATACAAACTTGGAAATGCACTTTTCTGCTTAAATCTGTAGTTTAGTAGAGTTTACAGAAGACTTTTTTATTGGAAGATATCGGGCCATTCACATTAGACTCCTCAAAGTGAGTCTGGGTTCAGTGGCTCATGCCTATAATCCCAGCGCTTTGGGAGGCTGATGCAAGAGGATCACTTGAGCTCAGGAATTCAAGACCAACCTAGGCAACCATAGCAAGATGGTGTCTCTACAAAAGACATTTTTTTTTTTTTTAATTAGCCAGGTACAGTGGTGCACACTGTAGTCCCAGCTACTTTGAAGGCTAAGGTGGGAGGACTGCTTGATCCCAAGAGGTTGAGGCTGCAGTGAGCCATGATTGTGCCACTGCATTCCAGCCTGGGTGACAGAGCAAGACTCTGCCTCCAAAAAAAAAAAAGAATCAACAAAGTGTTCATTAAAATTTGCGGTTGGCATCTGATCTTCAATAAAGTAGACAAAAGCAATGGGGAAAGGACCCTGTATTTAATAAATGGTGCTGGGATAATGGGCAGGTCGTATGCAAAAGATTCAAGCTGAACCGCTTCCTTACATCAATACAAAAATCAACTTAAGATGGATTAAAGACGTAAGTATGAAATCTCAAACTATAAAAACCTCTGGAAAATAACCTAGGAAATACCATTCTGGACATAGGACCTGGCAAAGATTTCATGATGAAGACACCAAAAGCAATGCAACAAAAACAAAAGTTAACAAATGGGATCTAATTAAACTAAAGAGCTTCTGCACAGCAAAAGAAACTACCTACAGAATGGGAGAAAATATTTGCAAACTATGCATCCAACAAAGGTCTAATATCCAGAATCTATAAGGAACTTAAACAAATTTACAACAAAAAAAACCCCATTAGCAAGTGGGACAAAGGACATGAACAGACACTTTTCAAAAGAAGACATACATGCAGCCAACAAGTATATGAAAAAATGCTCAACATCACTAATCATTAGAGAAATGCAAATCAAAACAATAATGAAATACCATCTCACACGAGTCAGAATGGCTATTATTAAAAACTCAAGGTCAGGAGCGGTGGTTCACACCTGTAATCCCAGCACTCTGGGAGGCCAAGACCAGACTGACCAACATGGAGCAATCCTGTCTCTACTAAAAATGCAACATTAGCTGGGTGTGGTGGTTCATGCCTGTAATCCCAGCTACTTGGGGGGCTGAGGCAGGAGACTCACTTGAACCTGGGAGGCAGAGGTTAGGGTGAGCCAAGATCGTACCATTGTACTGCAACCTGGGCAACAAGAGCAAAACTCTGTCTCACAAAAACAAAACAAAACAAAACAAATCCCTAAAAAAATAACAGATGTTGGTGAGGTTGTGGAGAAAAGTGACTGCTTATACACTACTGGTGGGAATGTAAATTAGTTAAGCCATTATGGAAAGTAGTTTGGCCATTTCTCAAAGAACACAGAATTATCATTTGATACAGCAATCCCATTATTGGGTATATATCAAAACGAATATAAATTTTTCTACCATAAAGACACATACCCGTGTGTATGTTCACTGCTGCACTATTCACGATAGCAAAGACATGGAATTAACCTAAATGTCCATCAACAGTAGACTGGATTTTAAAAATGTGGTACATATATACAATGGAATACTATGCCCCCATAAAACCTTGTGCACATATGGACACAAAGAAGGGAACAATAGCCACCAGGGGCTACTTGAGGGTAGAGGGTGGGAGGAGGGTGAGGATGAAAAAGCTACCTATCAGGTATTATGCTTATTACCTGAGTGATGAAACAACCCATACACCAAATCCCTACGACATTTAATTTATCTACATAACAAACCTGCCCGTGTAACCCTGAACCTAAATGTTTGAAAATAAAAATAAAAATAATGGGGGGTGGGGTTGGGGTTAGGGCTCAGGAAACTTTTCTGATTCCTCAAGTCATTCTTAAATAAATCAAATCTTAGGAAGCACTAAGCTACAGGAGTTAAGGTCAAAATCTGGAAACTTAATCTAAGGTTTTTTAATGATCTGGTCTCTGCTAATCTTTCTGGGCTCAAATTTCACTATTACCTGTATGTGGAAACTTATTCTGCAGTTGTAAGGCACTACTTATAGTTCTCAAACACAGTTTATTGATTTTTCTTCCATGTTTCTAAGCTTTGCAAATGCTGTTCATTTTCCAAGACTGACATTCTCTCTTTTGTAAGACTATGAATGCATTCTCCCAAATTCACTGTGAAGACTTATCTGAACACAAAGGTACAGGGTCTCTTTGCTTAGTTCCCATAGCAATCTGTGCATATCAAGTCTAACACTTATAATAGGTCTGTTTCCCTGCCACTAAATTGTGAGCCCTCTGCAGGTAAAAACTGAATTACTCATCTTTGAATCTTGAACATATGCTAGAATAATTATTTCATGACGAAAGACTTTGGAATTAATGATCAAGAAGAAAAAAGGCAAAAAACCCTACCCAGAAATAATAAAGAATGGTAGAGATGCACTAATGTTCCTTGGGTTGAAGCACTGATACTCTGACACCGACCTTACACACGGGTGGCTTAATACATTAATTATATAATATTTACCACTCAAAGGACTCAAAGATGTTTTTTATAACTCACAAAATTTGTAGTTTCTAATATAAAATTCTTTCCTCCTTAAATTTAAAACACAATGGCAAGAAGCACATACTTTCAACAGTCTATATTCTTTGAATACATTTCCATGAAAACCAATCAAAACACCAGCAGTAACTTATCCAATTTATGTTTAGCATGTTGAATAATTTCACTTTGACTTTTGGCCACACTCTTGAATCTTCCTTAATGATTAAGCAGATGAATGGCAGTTCAGGGCAACCTTCAATAATGTGGTATTTATAACAAAAAAAAATTTTTTTTAACAAAAGTTTATAATAAAATAAAATGCAATTAAAATATTGTTCTAACAGACAGTTTCAGGCCCAAAATGACAGTAGTCCATGCATGTGTCACATTCAGTGAACAGCTTTGGTGTATCACTAATAAGCTCTAAGGAGGAGCTTACCCTGCTGGCCCTGGGGCGTCTGTGAGATGATAAACTGCGCTGGCTGCAAATTGGTGGTTGGATGCACCAACACAAACTGTTGCAGGTTGAGATTCTGCTGTTGAAGCTGTTGCAGTTGTTGAAGATCCTGAAAAATGGAAATTAAAACATGGATTGGAGATTCTGAAATAAAAGTCTGCTTAATTATAAGGCTTCCAGCTGATGAATTCTATCACATACAAACAAAGAAGAATAAATACTTAGCATGCTTTCATATTCCAAACAGGACATGCTCTGTGTGTGCTTGACACAGCATGTGAAGCAACCTGGAGCTTCTGTAACTTACTATTTTTGTGGACTGACATATATTACTATACTAAGCCTAATTTTCAATGATTCTTTAAAATTCCCTCAGAACAAATATACTTCTGCTTTTTATCATGTAGACACCAATATGGGTCTTAAAATCAAGTGAGAAAAGACTTTTTAAATATTTGATTGATTTTTCTCTTAAATAAAAATTGAGTTTTATATCTGAATTTCCATCAATAAATTAAAGAACCTATGATGATTTGACATTTGACAACAGCTTATCTAACTCAACTGAGAAATCAGTATTCAATTTTTTTGTCCCTTTCCACATATTCTAAAGTATTCAATTTTTTAAAACAAAAAATAGCTGTCCAAATAAAAATGTGATTCATAACAACGATAGCACCTTACATTGGCCTATTGTTTTATAATTTTCAAAGTGTTTTCATGTATGTTATCTTATTTAGACTAATGTTAACATGGGGTCTCACAGCTTAGGCACTAAAAACATTTATTTGGTGATGAGAAAGTGGCCAAAATAAAACTATTATCTTTTATTAAAGATTTATATATATTTATACTTATAAATATATATAGTATATAAATATATACTATATATAATTTATAAATTTATAAATTATAATATATATAAATTATAAATATATAATATATATTTACATATTATATATATTATAATATAATATATATATTCATATACATATAATCTTTAAAGATAAAGATTATATATAATAAAGATTGACCTGATATCTATTCTCCACTCTTATAGTTAATTAGTTCTTTTTAAATAGGTAATAAAACTTGCTACAAGTCCATTTCGGAGTCTTTTCTGAGGGGGATAAAGACAGCTGTCAAACAATTTGACTCATAATAACTCTTCACATAGTTTACTGATATAACTACTTATACCTTTTTCCTCTTCTTGAGATAAAGGATTTTATTTATTTTCCTCCTTGGTACTACTGTGTATGCTTCTTAAATAAATTTTTATTATCTCTAGATACTTTGACCTAAAATGTGAAAACTGAATCCAAACAACGTTCTGATGCAATAATGTTTGGCATAATGCTAATCACTCCGAAGCAGAGATGACTCACTGTCTTTCTCACACATGGGTGGCAACATTCACTGCAGAGCACATGAAAAAAATCCATGTCTGCTGTAATTAGCTAATTAAAATAAATACAGTAATCCCCTACTTCAAAAATATGCCAGCTAATTATTCAAGAATTGTCCCTTAATATAGTCAGTTATTCAAATAATCAGCTATATGTTTATAATATCAACTCAAATAAGCAAACAAACATCATTTCTAATTCAGTGGTAAGGAAGGGTACTGCTTACCTCACTGATCTAGAGCTCCTCAGGCCTTTAAGGCCCCACACTAACAATCCAAAAGTTAATTTAACATTACATAAAACCTGCCACTTTATTCCTCACTTGCTGCCCCAGCTACTACAGTTCCTCACTCACCTGTGCGATCTGTATGGGCTGAGACAGGGGGATCTGCGTCATGGGTGTGGCAGCAGAGGCGGAGATGGTGGCCCCAGCAGCGCTATGCTGCTGGCTGGCGGAGTGCTGCTGCACTGCAGCGGCCAGCAGCTGTGCCTGTGCCTGTGCCTGCTGGAGTAGTAACTGTTGCTGAGCGGGCGTCAAAGTAAGCTAAACAAAATCAGAACACATAATGGGAAAGGGTTGAAGGAGAAAGTCTCCTAATGCAAGCCAACTGCTTTGAAATAGGTAACTCAAATTATATTAGTCCCCAGCTACCCAACTTCACATGCTTAGCATACAGCTAAAATGTTCATCAGTGATCAAACTACCATTACTAGCAGAACATTTAAATTAAAATGGTGGTCCCCAGCCTGGACTTAATCATTCAAGCTTGTGCAGGGCCCTAGCGTTTGGGCAAAAAAGTAATTAACTAGTATGTAAGAAAAAAAAAAAGAATCACTGCTGACAGGATATGAAAAGAAATTTACACCCAACCAAAGAGCAAGTGATTAGTCAGATGAATGAGGAACAGGGATGCTGGATATAACCAAGGAAAGAACTGATAAGGCCCAGCTGCTTCCCATTAGCATGAATCCCTGCCATATTCCATCATTTCCATTATGTCCAAAGATATCACTAAAGAATATGAGCTCCATTTGTTTCTTTTCCAAGTCTCCCTACAGGCCCCTCCCTAACACAATCTTTTCTGTTATTGAAAGCACTGAGTCTCTGCAACTTTACATCTCCTTTCCAACACATTATCTCTATGAAACAGGTGGTGACTGCCGCTCTCTTTACATGCAAATGAACCCTAATGCCCAGGTTTAATAGAAGCTCCAGGCACAAGAACCTAGAATCCCAAGTGCCTCTTACTATTGTAGACACTAGTCACCAAAAACAAGACCTAAATAGTAAAGTAGATGTATTTACAGCATATGTAAACTTGCTTTCATAATGCAACTTATTTCAAACACACTTAAATAAAAGTAGTAAGTGTGTTCTGCTTTTCTTTTGGTGACATATTCTGATTGATCAAACAAGATGGAACTGTAATCTTCTGAAGTATATATATAGTCACTTAGTGCCCCAACCTCCTCTAAAAGAATCGAACACAATTTGTGCATTAGAAACATCAGGCTCAAAACCAAACCCTTCGAAAACTCAATACCCTTTCAAGGGATATATGTGTATATAAAGTATAGATACATTTTTTAATTTTTATATAATACACATGTATATACATACATCTCTACTGATGGGATTTTGTAAATAATTTTGCAACAGTTCTTAAAACAGTTGTCCACTGACAAAACACACCTAACTGAAATGAAAACAAATAACCAAACAAACAAAAAAGCAACAACATCCCCAGAAAATTCTTGGGAGTTAATGTGATGTGAATTGAATAATAACTATTTCTTATATTGTCCTAAACTAATCCCCACAAAGATAATTTAATGTACAAATTTTAAACATAGGAAAAATATTGTGAATGGTGCCTTAGAGAAAAGACAGCTGAAAACTTAAAAGCTTAATATAGTCACACAGGCCAATTTATTAACAATAAAAAATAAATGACAGACCTTCTCAGCCTTTTGGTTAAGATCAAGCATTTAAAATAAAGTATAAGCCATCGGGCATGGTGGCTTACACCTATAATCCCAGCACTTTGGGAGGCCTAGGTGGGCAGATCACCTGATGTCAGGAGTTGGAGACCAGCCTGATCAACATGGAGAAACCTCGTCTCTACTAAAAATACAAAATTAGCTGGGTGTGGTGGCGCTTGCCTGTAGGCTAAGGGAGAAGAATCACTTGAACCCGGGAGGTGGAGGTTGCAGTAAGCCGAGATTGCGCCATTGCACTCCAGCCTGGGCAACAAGAGAGAAATTCCATCTCAAAAAAAAAAAAAAAAAAAAAAAAAAAAAAATAAAAAAAAAAAAAAAAAAAAAAAAAAAAAAAGAACATTTGTTGAAAGCTACCTGCCAAGCACTGTTCTATAAGCTTTGTATGTATTATCTCCAATCTTTACAACAGTAACGGTATTATTAGCATCACCATTTAATACAGGGAAAACTGAAGTAGAGGGAAATGAAGTAATTGGGCCATACGGTAAGTTGCAGAACTAGGACATGAAGCCACCACATGTTTTATTTTAGACTACTACACAGTAACTTAAAGAAAAATGTTTTTCTTTTGCAGGCCTAATCCATTCTTTAACTTCTACCCTGCAGTGATGTCTTAACGCCAAATGGACAACTGCCATTTTATCAGTTTGATGATCTCAGCTATATGATAATTATTCCATTGCATGATGAAACAACACCTGAAACGGGAGTTTAATGAAGTTTTTAATTTATTCAAAGCATCCACAATTCTCATACAAGATATCCTGAAAACTTACAACAAAGATAATTCCTTTTTTAGAGCAACTTACTACCTATAGTGTAGGAAGTTCCTAAAAGACACAACAGTGCCAGGCACAGCCATGTTACTGCCAGCTACGGTGAACAATTCTAATCAGACATTGGCCAATGGCAGTTCTGACCCAGACAAAGTTTATTATAATTCTCTCAGTGAACACTTACCCCAGTTATCTGTCCTCCAGCTAGCATAAGCTGGGTTTGGGGAATGGCTGCCTGCACTGAAGGCTGCTGGGAAGGCTGGCTTGGCTGCTGTGAATCCCCCGATTCTTCATTAGATTTAGACTGAGGTGGGGTGGGGTGGGAAATAAAAGATTGCAAACAGTTGATTAAAAGAAATGTACTTAAAACCCCATCTTTTAGGAATCATTTAAAACATGGGCTTATTCAGTCATGAGTTCTAGTTTCACATACTGAGTTTTTAGATTTTTTATTCCAGTGCTGACAAAGCTGCTATTACAATTTTAAGAAATACTCAGTCATCCCCAAAAAAGTAAAAGATTTTTTTGTCATATCCCCCAGTTCCTCAACTCTAGAAATAGGGGGTAAAGGGAAGAATACATTCTCCATCCATCTCTACATTAGACCTTCCATATCAACATTTTAACATACACCTGGTAGCTTGTCTGAAACTTCTCCATATAACATCTCAGAGAATTATCACTTGATTCACGGAACTCTCCACTTAATATTTTACAGAACGATAAATCTAGCAACTCCCATCAACTAACACACAAGCTCAGAGAGAAAATGCTGCAGTCAAGAAAGAGGGGCACGAAGAGAAAATTTTATGATAATTAAAACTGGTTATGCAAAACATTAAAATTCTGCATAGATTTGCATATTTCCCACCACCTGTTTTAGGGACTGCAGCAAGGCTAATTAACATAAATGCTCTGATTAATTCTGCCAGTCATTGAGAGATAATTACAGTGCAGCACTGTAAACATTCTGCACTGGAGATACAGCCTGTTTGCCAACATCTCTCTAAGGGATGAAAGTTTACCATGGCAACCAAGGCAATTTTCTACCTCCTCTCCCTCAGAAAGTAAGGTCACATTGTCTCTTTTTCTTTTCTTTCCTTGTTCCCACGTGTTACTAGGTCCATATTCAACTGGGTTTCATGAAATGCTCAACCCAAGGTCTTTAGTCATTAGCAACACTGAAATAAATCTTCCATAATACTATCTTTCCCTCTTGACTGCTGGTTACCTACACACTACAATGAAAGGAAGCAGCAGGTTGATTGAAATTTTAGAGAGTAATGCCTAACACTTGAACTTTGTCATGTTTTGCCACATGGTTCAAAGAAGGAGAGTGGCTAGATTTAAGTTTTATTTTAACATTTTGACTGTCTATCTTCCAATATCTACATATAGGTTTAATTATAATTATTAGAAATGTAACATTTCAGCATGGAGAGGAACCCTGGCAATCTTATAAATGTCCCCACTTAAGTACAGATGAGACAAACTGAGCCTAAGGAGGTTAAGTGACTTGCCAAAGGTCACACAGTTGGTCAGTGGCAGAATGAGAATGCAAACCTAAGACCCTTGTGTCTCAGTCCAGTGTTCTTTCCTCTGCCCTATGAGGTCTCCCTAAGACTTCAAAAATGACAAAGAACAAGCCTTTGGAAACAAATGGGCATTTAAGAAAACTTTTATGCTGTGTATTTAGGTATGTGTTACAGCAGTATGACTTAGAAACATTTTTACTGAACTTATACATAAAACTTTAAGAGTAGACTTTTCCCGTCCATCTTTGGTTCATACAGTAGCAGGATATTAAACTGATTTTCATTAATGGCAATAATTACTATTTGAATCTTCATAAGATTCACTAATTTTAAAAGGTAATACTAAGCATTTCCTATTATAAAATATATGCTCACTATAGAAAATTAGAAAAATATAAATAAATAAATAAATAAATAAATAAAAGATTGACCCATTAATCCCAGGTCCCAGCTTACCTGTACATTTAAAGACTGAGCAGCAGCCTGTAAACTTGTTCCAGCGAGTTGGACCTACAAGTAATCAGGGGAAGTTCTAGTTTAATACTCTTGACATTCATCACAAGGGGTTGTCATCACTGAATATTAAGCCTACTGTGAGTCACCGAGCTAGAACTGAGAAGACAGAGGATTGTCTTAAGGAGTTAAAACTTTATGAACAAACTCAGTCCCTTCTCAGCCCATCCCACCCCACCCCCACTGGTACCACAGAAAAATGCTGTTAATCTTTTTTTGAAGATGTTTTCCCACACTAAATGAATATTATCAGCCATGCCACACTTGTACTGAACGCTCCTTACATAACATTCTTTTGTCTTCACAGAATGCTTAGATTCTAAAAATTTAATCTTCCACAGTGTTAAAGAACATATAAGAACAAGCTATCTATATACATTGTTTATTATTAGAAACAATCAGAACCATCTACATAATTAAAATAATTTCAAATTTCCCATATATACACCAGAGTAGAAATATATATACACATCCACACAGTCAAGTCCTTAAAACATTTATAATCTTAACTTAAAACTCAGCTGAAATAAGAAATCTATCTTATAAACCACACATAAAAGTCTGTCAAAACATTTAATACATTTCATACATTCAGAAAGTTCAAATCATGGTTATGTGAAATTAAGGACACACATGGAATTAGAAAACCATCATTTGGCAACTAAGAAAATAACTGATTTAGGCAGTCATCAATGGATAACTAATGGGTGTGATACCTGAGGAGTAACAGGATATTTACATTTTCTCAACTATGTCTCCAATGATACTTAATTCTTAGAAAGGGTAAAATAGTATTTTAGTGGAGAAACCTGGCAGACAAATAATCAAGTGAGTACAAACGAGAGTCACCAGGAAGGAGACACATGCCTTCTGCTATGATGCAGTGAGAAGAATACAGCACTGCTTATGCTGCATCCCTAACAAAAGTACAGAATCTGTATCTAATCACGATGAAAGTCAGACAAACCCAAACTGAGAAACACTACAAAATAACTAGTGTATACTGTTCAAAAATGCCAATGTCCTGAAACAAAGAGACTGAGAAGGGAAAAAGAGAACATAAACTAGGCTAGAATAAATGAAAAACTAAACTAGAATGGTGGCAGTGGAAGTAAAAAGTAGGAAACATGAAAGGCTCCACAACATACTACATAAGAATCCTGACTGGATTTAAATGAAAAAAAGATAGTCATGAATTATTCCAGGGTTCAAATCTGGGCAACTGGAAAATGGTAGTGCCACTAACAGGGACAGAGAAGATAATGAGTTCCATTCTGGATATACCAAATAACATCATGTCCTGAAATTAAATATAAATGTTGGTATGGAGCTCGATAAAGAGTTTAGGGCTAAAAGGAACTGATTGCTATGTCTTTTATTTGAAACTGTTGGTCCCGTTAGTAGATGAGAACCCTAAACACAAAAACAAAAAACAAAATCTGAAGATGTATATAGAACACATTTAAAATATAGTGCAATAAGGGGAGGCCTATCTGAAGAGATAATATGTTTAAGATCTACAGCCTAAGAAGTCAAAGAACCCAAGGAAAGAGCTTCAGGTACAAAGATTTGAAGAAGATAAAATTTTATGTGATTTTGCTTATGTTTCAGGGTAAATGTTTGTTGAGGAACGGGATATTTACACAGCCTTTAAAGTAGCGTCTCACAGAGTATTACCTACCAGGAGGCAAAAAGACATATTTACAGTGGACAAATCTGATAAACACTATCTTGATAAAATAATCCAAATTAATATCACAATAATGGGACAAAGCAATATTATATGCCTTCTGAATGCACTGAGAGTCTCAGCATCACTTGCATTGTATTCCTTTAAAAAATGCATAACTTGAATTTAGCCGTTGAGGGAACAATCAAACACATTCAAGTTATAGGGGTATTCTATGAAACAGCTGGCCTCTATTCTTAAAAAATGTCAATATCATGAAAGACAAAGACAGGCTCAGGAATTGTTCTGGATTAAAGAAGACTTAACAGACATGACAGCTAAATACAAAGTACGAACTGGATTGTGGGCAGAAAGTATATAACTATGGGTCAATATTAGAAAATGATATCACATCAATGTTAAGTTTCTGGAATTTGAAATTTGCACTGTAGTTTTATAAGAGAATGCTATTTTTAGAAAAAACATGCTGAAGTATTTAGAAGTAAATGGTTAATATCCGCAACTTTCAAAGGAGTTGGCAAAAAAATTTTTTTTGGCTTGGTGCCATGGTGTATGCCTATAATCACAGTTACATGGGAGGCAGGAAGATCACTTGAGCTCAGGAGTTGGAGATCAACCTGGGCAACATAATGAGACCCCATTAAAAAATATATTTTTTACGTGTACATACACATATGGTAAAAGCAAAATGTATTTTTTATGTGTACACACATACATATACACATAAACCCATATGGTATAAAGCAAATATGGTAAAATAGTAAAAATTGATGATTCCAAGTGAAGGTTTTCCAGATGAACACTATTCTACTGCTGTAACTCTTACAGATTTGAAAGATTTTAAAATAGGAAGTTAAAAATCAAAAAACGAGAGCATTACTTTACCACTCCATTTAGCTAGTTTCCAACACCCTTCAAGACTCAGCTCAAAAATCACCCTGAGAGAAAAGTCTCAGATTGTACAGGCTAAGCTAGTCATTTCTTCCTCAGTAGTCTTACATTTGACCACTTGGTCATCTATTAATTTATTCAACAAATAATTACTGAACACCTGTTGTATTATGGGGCTCTTTGGTAAATGCTGGGGATATAGGTAAACAAGAAAAAGTATCTATTTTCACGGAACTTATAGTTAACGAGGCAACAGACCTAAAACCATCTATTTTGTGTATGTATATTATAATTATGGTAAGGAAAGGTTCAAGGTGCTAATTCTGCCAACAAGGAGGCTGGAAATAGAAGGCAAGTATAACATTGTTAATTATCTAATCAGATGCAAGGACTTGTGTCTTGATGGGAGATTCAATGGTGTCACAATTTCAAATAAAATTCTTTGGTTTGCACTCCTTTGGTCTGGGTGGTATTGAAGGGTTTATGATTTTGGTAATCAATGGCTAGATGTAGGGGTCTTGGATCTGACACATGGAGAGTTGCAACCATCTTTGAAATTGGACCCAGTGGGGAGAATACTGCACATCATCTGTGCACCCTCAGGGACTTTAAAAAATACATTTGGACCATCACATATTTAAGCCAGAAAAAGGGGCTTATTAGGTGCCAAATAATTGACTAAACTCTGTCAAAAATTCTATTCCTCTTAGGACCCAGAAAAATTATTGGAGCCTTGACTATGTTCTTAGAAAAAAAAATCAACACAAAACTTTTTTTTTCTTCTAGGATATATTTTAAAAATACATATTTAACTCATTTTAGATGTTAATTCATCTTAATATTTTATCTGGAAGTTAATATCGAAGTTTTTCCCTTTCAAAGATACAAAAAAAGCTATGTGCCTAGGCAAAAGTGTTCCATTAGGCTTCACTCTAACAGAAGATGCTAACTGCGGCCTACATGATATCTCTTTGAGTCTGTGAACAAACAAATGGGCTTTAGAACAGCGTTCCAGAATTTTACCTGTTTTCAAGTAGAAGAGCTTCTTTTATAGTTTAGGTGGTCTGATGACATGTTTTGATGAAAAGACTTTAGTAAGATTCAGTAACTTAATATGTTAATATGTTACCTTGGAGGTCTTATGTTCACATGGGTTTTTCACTGAATCACTACCACCACCATCACTAGGCACCACTGCTAGCACCATTACTATCAACACATTTTGCATGTTAAATTAGTTCTAGGTTTTAACTGAGCTATAGACCACCAAAATATTGCTCCAATATATAATTGTGGACATAAATCAAGAGGTTGAGACATTATATCTATCTGATAATCTATCTCCCAACTGTTTTCTCTGTTTTCCATTTTCAACCAGCTTCCATATCCCAAACTACTGAGTAGCTAGGGTTTGTATTTTTTTATTCCTGCTCCCTCTATATTATAGCTAAAACATGAACAGAATTCATGGTCTGTTTTAGACCCAGGGAAAAAAATGTTGTGAACAGGGTAACAAAGTTGTGGCAGTCTTCTGAACCTCAAAATAGGGGTTGAGGGTTACAGTCAAGCAAATGCCTCTGAGTAGTCGCCCAAATTAACTATCATGGTCTGAAACTGTTTTAGAGGACAGAGATGAGCTTGGAGCTCAGAGCCTTATACAGCCAGTCTCAGGCAATGGTAGCTACATCTTTTTTGACTGATAATTGACTACCACCAGGTAGCCACCACAGATTCTCACTTATAAAAACAGCAAACCAGTTGTTATACACATTCCATTCACAAGAAATTCCTTTGTTTCCCACACACCTGTGGGGTCAATGACTATACACTCAATTAAACTACAGGATTTCATACTAACCAAACAGAATGACACAATTATACATAATTAGCACTAGGCTTTAAGTAAGTTGAAAGGCCCCACATTCTGAAATAATTTCCTCAGGCCCTAGCATTTTATGCCTCTTTCACGCTCACTAATGGTTGAGCAGGACATTCCTACCTGATGGAGATGTCCAAGGAAGGCCTGCGCCTGGGCTGTTGAGATTGCTCCTCCTACAGGCACAGGCTGCTTCTGAAAGTCCAGACCATTGGTTTGTGTGCCTGGGAAGCAAGCAAAACAATTAGAACTATTAAAAGAAATAAATGAAATAAAGCACTAGATTTCAGTTCCCAACATTCATTAGGCACCTATTTTGCATAAGCACTTTTCTAAGCACCTCCAAGGGGAAGGGATTCAAAAGAAAGGAAACATAGTAAAATGGTTTCTCTTCTAAAAGCAGGGCTGCATGACAAGTACACAAACACTGATAAAGCTTAAGAAACAGAAACAAAAAAATAAATAATAAATTACAATCATAAGATGGTGTGTGAAAAGTCAGATGTGAATGCAGTGACTGGAGCAGCCAGCATAGGAACAGTGTTCAAAGAGACCTCGAGGCTCTCTTCTATTTTCATCTTACTTGATATGTGGCTTAGACAGAAGAAATTCACTGATGACTTTGCCAGGAGCAAGAAAGATTTATTATTAACACTTTAATGAATAGCAATCTGATGGTAAAAAGTAACCTTTTACATGATAAGCAAAAAGAAAACAATAGCTGTACTAATTCCTTTAATCCTAAACTACAGATTGCTGCATGTACCTCATTAGCAAGGGCTCTGCTGTAATTATATTTTTCAAAATGTTATGCCAGGCTAGGCGCAATGGCTTATGCCTGTAATCCCAGCACTTTGGGAGGCTGAGGTGGGCAGATGGCTTGAGCTCTTGAGTTCGAGACCATCCCAGGCAGCATGGTGAAACCCTGTCTCTACAAAAAAAAATCAGCCAGGTGTAGTGATGCCTGCCTGAAGTCCTAGCTACTCTGGAGGCTGGGGAAGGATGGCTTGAGCTCAGAAGGTGGAGTTGCAGTG